GCGCAGGCCGCGGCCGCGCTAACGGTCGCGGCCCGGGTGGGGTTCGCCGAGCTGAGGGCGGCGGCGCGGGGAGCGCCGGGAACGCGGCGCGCGGGGAATGCCGGGAACATGGGAGCGAGGGGAAGCGCGGGAAGCGAGGGGGACGCCGGGAACGGGAGCGCGGGGGACGCCGGGAGCAGAACCGCAAACGGGCCCCTTCCGAGGTAGACATCGTGGAAGAGGCCGTGCAGACATAGGTGCTGCTTCGTTTCCAATTAAAAGCATTCCTTTGTAAGTCATTTAAAAAAAAAAAAAAGACAAGTATGCTCAACTGTCTGGCACTTTTGCATCTGCTAATACCATATTAGGAGCCTCAAAAAAGGGAGGGTGTAAGTAAATGGAGAGGGACAGCTCCTCAGACTGGCATTCCAGTCAACAAATGTAAAGGAATGATGGAAACAGGAAATCTCCCGTTGGGCAGCCACCGCAATAATACGTGCTGCAAACAAAAATCATGCGTACTAAAAATAGTGGGCGAAAATATGCGAAACAGGTTTGGTTTGGGTTTTTTTACAGAGTTGCAAAGTTTCCTCCCCAACATGCTTACTTTTTTTTTTTTTTTTTTTTTTTAAAAAGGATGACCGGTAAGGTGATCTTAACCCTCGACTTGGTGTTGTCAGCACCACGCTCAGCCAGTGAGCGAACCGGCCATCCCTATATGGGATCCGAACCCGTGGCCTTGGTGTTATCAGCACCGCACTCTACCGAGTGAGCCACAGGCCGGCCCCCCAACATGCTTACTAATTGCAGAGGGAAAATAGCTGTACAGTGGGGGAAAAAACTAGGAGCTACCCCATTAACCAAGAGATCAAAGTTACCAGCAAATGTATACAGGTCCAAGCTTAGTGAATTGTACACTTTAAATATGTGTATTGCGTTATATTTTTATTGTACCTCAATAGAAATGTAGAAAAAATATTAGCACCAGTAAAAGGACATACTGTGGGACTCCTGAGAAGGACATAGGTTTACATGTGAGTATTTCTGCCCAAAAGGTAAAACCTGAATGAAGAAAGACCAAACAAAGCCAAAATGAGAGACATTCTGCAAAATCTTTGATTGAAAGACACACGGCTAAGTGCAATGTGGAATCCAGACCCTGGATTGAATCCTGGCTCGGATTTCTCATTCTCCACCATCCCCCAGAAGTTGTCTGATTGCCCTAACCTGTCTTCAGCAAAAATCCTGTTAGATGGGTTTAGTGAGAATCCCTCTTACCCCTGGTGTTTCCTCTTAGTAATTTTCTATCCACTGACCCTCCACCCTGCTCCTTGGCTTTCAATTCCCACTTGCCCATGCTGTATTCATTCAGAGATGAGCCCAATCTCTCTCCTCCACCACAAGGCCCTGTTGCGGTGGTCTCTATACCTGTGGCTATGGGCCTATATAAAGTCCTCCTTACCATGCTTTAACAAGTGTCACTGGATGATTTCTTTTTTAACAGCATCAATGCTAATTTCTTGGTTTTAATCATCCTACTGTGATGGGTACTATATTAACATTTAGGGGAACTGGATGAATGGTACTGGAATTCTTTGGTCTATTTTTCAAAATTTTTTAGTAAGTTGAAATCATTTCAAAATGGAAAAGGTTAAAGACAGGAGGGAGAGGAGGTGTTGCAGGTGATGAAGTGGGACGCCAGCACAGGCCCTTCCCTGTCTCTTGCCCACCTCAGCACCAGGCACCTCATAGAGAGTACTGTCTCCCATGAGGGTCTGGCTCCCGGGCTCAGCCAGGGGATGCCAACCTCCCTGTGGCTGGGCCAGTCAGAGCCTATGGAAGCTCAGCACACTGCCATGCAACCATAGCAACCTTCCACACTTGGTTGGATGGTGAGGTGAGAGCCCCACTAACCTGTCAGACTTGAGACCTCAGACCTCCACACTCTAGCCCGCTTCCCACGAAGCCTGGGACCGACTGAGTGAGAGACAAGGGCCCTCGCCACAGATCTCAGCTGGCTTCAGCCTCAGAGTCACAAAGATTACTGACTGGAAGTCCAAGCGGGAGAAGGATTCTTTCCTCTCTGCGTTTCTACCTCAGCCTAGCTTACCCATGAGCCGGGTCTCTGCAGAAGGGCCCACATGATGCCACCTGCTTGCAGATCGGACCAAAAGACATGATCTCAGGGAGTCTGCAAAAAAAGGCCAGGAGCCCAGGCCTGCCAAGACAAGACCCAAGTCCCCACTGCACCCCTGGGCTGGCCATGTTTGCTCATAGACTCGCTTCCACATCAGGCAGCCCCATGTCAGACAGCCCCACATCTACGCACCTCAACTCAGCTGTCTCAGGGCCAGAGGGCAGAAGTGGTTTGTGGGAAGGGGCATCTGAGAAGGAGGTGAGGTCCCCATCTTCCTGGAAGAAGAAGACCCACACTGGGGACTCGGGGATGAAATGCAGCTGTGATGAGCACAAAGGACTAGGTAGGCCATGCCGGGGTCCAGGTCCAGGCCTAGGCCTTCCTGGAGTCATATCCAAAGCTCTTCTAGAAGGCATTGGCTTCCTAGGGCCCTTCCAACAGCACAAGGGCCTTGCTTCAAGGGACTGGCCTAAATATATGGGGGCTTGTGAAACACCAGCACTGTCACCCTTGGTGCAAATGTTTACCTGGCCCAGGCATCAGGATATAGCAGTAGCTGAGAGAGGAAAGGTCCCTGGCTTCCTGGAGCTCTCAGTCCGATGAAGAGACACACAAAAATAATCAAATACACAGCACATCAGACAGCACTAACTGCCCCAAAGAAAAATAGAGCAGGACAAGCAGAGAATACAGCAACTTTATTGTTTTTGTTTTGTTTTACTTATGGAAGATTGCAACTTTAATTGGGGTGCCTCCCTGAGACTTAGCAAAGACCTGCAGGAAGTGAAGGAGAGTGCTTCTTGGATATCTGTGGGAGGAGTTCTTCAGGCAGAGGAGACAGTGAGTACCAAGGCCATGGGGCAGGAGCTGGCTGTGAGCCGTGGGAGGGGCCTGGGGCAAGTGCTGTGAAGGCAGAAGGGATGCCAGGCATTGTGGTGAGGCCAGGAGGACTGGTGGGCCTGCAGGAGCAGGCAACCCCTAAGGTGCCACCTTGTCCTTGTCCTGTCCTGGCCTCATGGCTCTGCCTCCCCACCTGGAGGGGAATTGAGCCATTACATTATCTCCCCAAGCCTGTTTCCTCACCAAGTGAGGATCACAATTTTATCAGTCTGCTAGGGCTGCTGTAACAAAGCACCTCCCACTGAGTGGCTTAAACAACAGACATTTATGTCTCACAGTTCTGGGGGCTAAAAGTCCAAGATCAAGGTGGTGGCAGGACCACGCTACCTCTGAAGCCTCTAGGGGAGGATGTGATCCAGGCCTCTCTCCCAGTGTCTGCTGATTCCTTGGCTGGTGGCAGCAGAACTTCAGTCTTCACACGGCATTCTTTCTGTGTGTGTGTCCATCTCTGTGTCCAAATTTTCCTCTTTTTGGAAGAATACCCATCATACTGGATTAGAGCCCACCCTAATCACCTCATTTTGTCTTCGATACCTTTGGAAAGACCCTATCTTCAAATGCAGGCACATTCTGAGGTACTGGGAGTTAGGACTCCAACATATCTTTTTTGAGGGATACAACTCAACCCATAACAATATAATCTATATCGTGGGCTTCCCCTTCCTCAGGGGGTCCAGGCAGGCTCAGGGGCAGAGGCATCCATGACAAGGGCTCAGGAAGCTTTCCCGGGCAGGCCCAGTCTCCAGGGCAAAGGTGAACATCTGGGGAGGCTCTTCCTGAGGGCAGTGTGCCTGGCCAGGCTGGGTGCTGGCATGGAACGCTGGTACAGGACACAAGGTGGCCCACTGACACAGATGAGGATGTTGGCAGCATGGGTAGTGTCCTCAGCTGGGAGCCTGCCATCCTGAACTCAGCCAGATACATGTGGGACTTGGGACCTGTTTCCCCTTGGACCTGGGGTTATGGGTTGCATTGCTACCGGGAGCCCCCTTTGAGTCCAGCCATGCTTAAGCATTTTTCTCTTGAATTCAAAGTGAGCCATGGAGGGCATCAGGCCCAGAGGGTGGTCGGGGCGGGAAGTGGGGAAGGGATGGGGAGGCATATCGGGCTCCTGGTCCCCCCAGACAGACCAGCAAGTCGACATACTCAGTTGCGGAAGCCCTAGTGCAGGTTCACACCCACCCTGTGTTCTCATTGCTCTGAAAAGACTCAGTTGGGGGCTGGCTGCAGAGGCAGAGGGAAGCCTGCAGCTGAGCATTGGTTATGTGGGACCCCCTTATGCTTGGCCAGGGCTGGGGACTCAAGCTCCCAAGTGCTTGCCCCAAACTAGGGCTCTTAGAACTGAGACAGACTCCACTAGCCCTCTGGTCCTCAAGTCCACCCCTTCCACCATCCCCTGGCCTCCACGGTCCACCCAGAGTATAGGCTGACCATACCTCTCCCCCCAGAGAAATCTCATGGGGCTGCCCAGGGCCACCTAATGGCCCCATAACCCATGCACACAGGCCCTCTTACACTCCAAGCACAGACAGACCGACCAACCCACAGGCATCCGTCATGGTGCTCAGGAGGCTGTGACAAAAGGATGAAGCAGGAGACACAGAACTCTGGTGTCAACCAGCACACGAGGTAGGACCTTGGAACACACTTACTCACCAAAGGCCCAAAGTTTTATTATTAAGATCTCACCTTCAAGTGCACATTCCTATGAAGTCTGACTTGCCAACAAGGAGTAGAGAGAGGGCAGGGACTGGCTGTGTCCACTCACTGAGATGAGCCTGCTCAGAACCCACAACCCCCAACTGGATGAGCAGGGGCCTGTCTGAGAGCCTCTGGTGCACATGGGACCACCTGGACCCCCATGGGACAATCCAGTACACACAGAACCCCTGGGGCACACAGAACCACCCAGTACACTGGACCATCCAGTACACATGGAACTGCCCGCCCCCCCACAGGACACCCTAGCACACGCAGGAGCACTGGATCTGCCAAGGCTGTGCTTCTGTTATAAGAGTGGGTTTTTCTCAAATCTTTCTTGTGCATGAATCCAAACATGGCCCGTCTCCTCTCCAGGAGCAGTTCTGATTGTTTGGAATTAAAGCACAATCATGCCCTGTGAGCCGAAGAGAGTAGGGGCCACTTTTAAACAAAAGCCTACTCTTGTCATTTGACCAGAGCAAAGACCACTGGCCAGAAGCACGTATGGGGTGAGAGGTGCCTCCCTGCCTGCACAGCATGTGCTTGCCTGCAGGCTGTGTGTGTGTGTGTGTGTGTGTGTGCATGTGTGTGTGTGTATGCATGGGTGTACCTGTGCATGTGTGCCTGGGAGTGTGTTTGTGTATGTGTGCCTGTGCACGTGTAGGCGTCCATGTGTGAGCATGTGCCTTGCACGTGAGTGTGACTGTGCCTCTGCACATGGACAGGGGTAGACCCAGGTGCATTCACATATGCATGGCATGCCTGGGCCTGCTCCAGACCTGGCATCAGATTCTGTCCCTCCCCACTGGCATAAGGTAGACCGCAAATTGGGCATAGGGACAGAGATGGGTAACACAAATCAGAGGGCCCTGGTTCTGGGGATGCCAGCAGAGTCACAGCCACTGTGGCCATGGAAGGTTTGTGTCCCCACTGGCCTTTGAGGCAGGGCTTCCCAGGAGATCGCTGGCCACGTGCAGAGGTCAGGGTTTGCTCAGCTCTGTAGCATGAACTCGTGGGTGCTGGTCTTCCAGCAGGAGGGGTCCTTGTCCAGCATGCTGCGCTCCGTGAAGGTCACATGGCCATCTGTATCCACAAGGATGACTGTGTTGGTTCTGAAAGAGACCATGAGGCTCATGTTCACCCCACATCCCTTGGCACCCCACCCCCACCTCTCCTATCAGAGCCATAGGTGGGGCTAGACCTGAGGCGGGAAGGGGCAGGCCCACCAGGCCTAGGGCCCATGCCAGGTCATGAATGAGCAGCAGCCTCAACCTTGGGTACACCAGGGGGGCCCATCAGGGGCATCTGGGCTCCCTGTCCAGCCCACAGGCCCAAGCTTTGCCCTGCTGTACCTGGTGCCGTAGTCAGGGCAGCGCACACACACAGCCGCGTACTTGCTCAGTATAGGTTGCACATACTCCTGGCCCTGGTCCTCAATGGCTGGGTCTGGCAGCTGTCTGGAAGGACAAAGGGAGGAATTGGACAGCAGTCCCCTTGTAGTCCACCTAGTCTGTGTAGCCAGGTGGCCCTGCCTGCTCTCCTAATGGCCTCAAGGTTCCTGAGGAGCCCACTGCCCTTGGAAGGTGGCTGGGGGAAACCACAAGGGCTGTTTTGTCCACTTTTCTGCTCGCTCAAGGTCTCAGATCTCTGTCCACCCTTCCATTTACGATTCCATCACTGAGCTCAGGCCCCAGATAGCACATATGCTTTCCCTGCCTGCCCCAAGAGGTGCCCGTGGGCATCTCTCCACTCCACGGGAGCTCAATCAAGCCCTATAACATGTTACCCACGGTAGCTGGCGCCAGGGCTACAGCCATCAGTAAGAGGGATCAGGGCCTGTCGCAGGCCTGCCCAAGATGACACCATGACCAAGGGCCTATGGACTCAGAGCTGAGTGGGGGCCATGAGCAGGCCTAGGCAGGGCTCCCCTGTGAGGGCAGTGACACTGAAGCTGAGGGATCTGATGTGGCTCAAAGGCCCAGAGGAGAGGGAGGATGAGCACGGGGCAGGGAGTGACCCCTGGCGGGAGAGGAGCAGGAGGTAGGCCATCCGGGCTCCTCCAGGGGCTGCTAGGGTGAGCGAGCTGGACAGGGTGTGAGTGGACACTGGGTGATCTGGGCAGGAGAGTGACCCTGCCAGGGTGGGGAGGGGAGGGGTGTGCAGGGCTGCCTCGCTGTATGGGAGGAAGGCCAGCTTGGTGGCACCAGGGCCCTCCACTGGGGTAGCCAAGACCCAGGTGCCCAGCATGTAAGGGTGCCCCATAGAGAGGCCTCCTGAGGTGCCTGAGGCCTAGGGGCGAGGAAGCAGGTGGGGACTCCTCTCCCCTAGACGGCTCCTGGGACAGGCGTGTCTGTGCCCAACACTCAGCCGGGGTCACTGGTGGGTCAGCACATGGGAAACACTGTCAACCCCAGATGTGCTCTGACCCTGGCCACTCGCTTCTATGGTTTGTCTCCCCATTCCCCAGGTTTGCTGAGCACCTGGAACCTTCTGGAATCTCCCACTAGCCCTCAGTATGCAGAAGGGTGAGCATCCAGCAGCTCTGGCCCCTCGTGAGCCTGTGTCAAACCTCCAAGAGCAACAAGGCTCCCAGTGCATAGGCCCATAGCTGTCCCATCTCTCATCATCAAAGGTCCCCACTGGAAACCTCGACTGCCTGAGGTGGGCAGGAGGGGGATGGTGGGGAAGCAGAGGACAGAGTGTCCGTCAGGCTCCCCTGTAGTGAAAGACCTGGCCCTGGTCAGCTCTTCAGACCTCTCAGGGCAGCAGAGCATACTCTCTGCCCCAGGGCCCCAGCGGGACCTGCTCACTCACGCCTCTTCATTGTTGAGCACATCCAGGAGCTGTGCAACAAGGGCATCCTTGGGGAGCGCCTGGCTCCGCTCCACAGCCTCCAGGAAGAGCTGCTTCCCAAAGCACAGCTTCCTCCAGGGCGTCTCCAGCAGTGCGTTGCTCAGCCCATAGGTCCCTGCAAGGAGGGGGTCACACTGCCATATGGAGGCCCCAATTTCAAGGCAGGATCCCGCATGCCCACCCAGCATGCGGTAAGGTGCCAGGAATAGGACCAGAGGCAGTGAAACCAGACCAGACTGAGACCAAGCCGCCCCATGCTCTGGCACCTTCTCTATGCCCGTACCTGCCCCCTCTGCATGGTAAGGGGTAAAGAACTCAACACAGGGTAGGGGGGACACCCACAGGAGACCACAAGGCACAGATGCCAAGCAGCCTGCATGGATGGATTAATAGGGAATAGACAACCTGAAATCCAACAGGCCAAGGAAAGGGGGCAGTTGAGAAGAGGCCTCCTTCTCACCTCACGCCACCTCTCTCTAAGCCAGGGTGTGGGACCACCTGGGCAGGACCAGGGTGGGACAGTCAGCAACGTGAGACCAGGAGGGTAACCACCACAATCAGTCCTGACTTATGTTAGTGATTAGGGAACTCCTCAACATTAGGGCTGGCCTTACCCCGTGGGTGCGGACAATGGCCCACCTCCACATGCCAGCCTGGACCCTGGCTGGGGAGCTTGGGGGTCTTGGTACAGGGACTCTGAGCTGTAATTTCTTAAACAAGTTCTCAGAGTGGTGTCAGAAGACATAACCAAAAGGAAAAGGGTTTCTCGTGTCACAAAAGTGAGGGGCACAAACTCTAACGAATCTCTTCTCTAGAGGCTCAGGCAGCAGGGCAGGCCTGCTCAGAGTCATGCACCTTGAGCCATGCAGCAGGGATGCTGTGACACCACCCTCTGCCCTGACAGACTTCTGGGTGAGGACCTTGGTACTTCCTGGGAAGACAGCTCTGGCTCTGCTGGGACTCCCACAGCCAAGCTGCCAACCCCCAGGTTTCACTGTGTCACCAGGGGTGACACATTTGACCATTCAGCAGTGGTGCTAGGCAACTGGGTATCCACAGGCAAAGAATAAAACTCTTAGAAGAAAACATGGAGGAAAAGATTTATGACCTTAGATTAAGCAATGATTTCTTAGTTAAGACACCAAAAGCACAAGCAACAAAAGAAAACAATAGATAAATGGGACTTAATCAAAGTGTAAAGCTTTGTGCTTCAAAAGATACCAAGAAAGTGAAAAGAAAATCCACAGGACGGGAGACAATTTTTGCAAATAACTTATAGCTAGAATATATAAAGAACTGCAACTCAGTAAGACAACCCAATTTAAAAATGGGCAAAGGATTTGAATAAACATTTCTCCAAAGAAGATATACAAATGGCCAATAAGCATGTGGAAAGAAGCTCAAGATCATTAGCCATCAGAGAAATGCAAATCAAGATCACAATGAGATTCCACATCACACCCACCAAGATGGCTGTGATCAAAAAGACAGGCAATAACAAGTGTTGGTGAGGATTCAGAGAAATTGGAACCCTTATACACTACCAGTGGGAATGTAAAATGACATACCTGCTTTGGAAAACAGTTTGGAAGTTTCTCAAAAGGTTAAACAGATACCATACGTTTTTGCAACCCCACTCCTAGGTAAATATGCAAGAGCTACGAAAATATATGTTCACACAAAAACTTGTAACAAACATTCACAGCAGCATTATTCGTAACAGCCAAAAGGTGGAAACAACTCAAGTGTCCATCAATGGATGAGAGAAACAAAAAGTGGTGTATCCATACAATATTATTCAGCCATAAAAAGGAACAAACTACTGATTCAGTCTACACCATGATGAACCATGAAAACATTATGTACGTGAACAAAGTCAGTCACCAAAACCACATGTTGTATGATTCCATTTACATGAAGTGTCCAGAATAGGCAAAACCACAGAGACAGAAAGCAGATTAAAGGTTGCTAGGGGCTGGGGGAATGGGAGTGAGTGCTAATAGGTATGAGTTTCTTTGGGGGATGATGTAAATGTTCTGGAAATAGTGGTGATAGTTGCGCAACTCTGAATAAACTAAAACCTATTGAATGATACACTTTAAATGGGTGAACTGTATGGCATATGAGTCATACCACACTAAAGTTGTTATTAAAGAAAAAAAGCAACACAGATCAGGTGGAGGCAGCTCAGGGATGGAATAGTATGTAGATGAAAAGAATTTCTCCAAAACAATTTAGCAGAAAATAAGCATCTCAAGCACTGAGAACTCAGGGCATTATAGGGGTGGCTTCCAGAGGCTTCCCCAAAGGCCTTCGGGCCAATGTTCAGAATGCAGGCAGGTGGGGCGGGAGAGGTCTCTGCCTTCTTTGGTGCCTTTTAGTTTCCACTTCTCTCTGGGGCAGTCACAGGTTCAGGGAAGCCCATATGATCTGTGGCCGGTTAGGCCAACTCTGCAGGCACAAACCTGCCTTACCATACATGCTGACCCCAAGATGCTGAACTCATGGGAGACCCTGAGGTGAGCAGAATAGCAAGAACCAATTGGAGATGAGCCAGAATAAACCTACCCAAGCTCAGGACCATATGGGGCCATATCCCCGCCTCACTGTTAGTGTGCTTGGGCCCCATCACCTGGCTCTTAGGAGCTCAGTTGGGCTTGCCCTGGATCCCCCACAGCTCTGTCTAAGGCTGGGAGAGGAGGGCCAATGTCGCAGAGAGTGGCCAGAGGGCCTGCTGTGGTACCCGCATGCCCGATGGCTGGCAGGATGAGACATCTCCTTTTGCTGTGCTGTGGACCAAGGGGAGAGAAGGTCAGCTGCGAAGCCCAGGGCATCCTGCTCCTGGTGCCAACCAACAACTTCACCTTGCCAGTGGCCAGCACAGGGACAAGGGCCCACTTCAGCCAGAGAAGGCACCAGCTGGCAGTGTGCAAGGGCAAGGGGGGTGGATGCATTAGAAGCTACCCTTCAGGTGTGTATGTGTGTGTGTGTGTTGCAGGGGGTTGCTCCTCTGAGGATACCAACTATCCCAGGGCATCCTGGCCTGGATACTGCCCCAGGAAAGGGGGGCATTCTGGAGCCACTGGGCCCACCTGTGGCCAAAACATCACTGGGCAGAGGAAGCCAGCCCTGGTGTAAGCCAGGCAGCGACCACAGGATTCATAAGCCTTGCAGCTCTGCCAGCCCCCTACCCCAAGAAGCAGGCAGGGTGGGGCCACTCAGCTGTCCCAGGAGCTGCTCACCACTGCCTTGGGCCCCACCTGGGACACCTAGGGTTTCAGGCCCACCATCGACACCTAGTGGGAAGGTGTGTACCTATGTCCTGCAATCTCACTTGGTGACTAGTGCCAACTACAATGAAAGTCTGTGTGATGCAGGGACAGCCCTGCAGAAGAACATCACTGCACAGAGGTGGGGAAGTAGGTGGTTCAGAGGGTGCTGATACTTTCCTCAGGGGCTGAGACACCCCATGTGGGCTGACAGCTCAGGCACAGGGACTGGAGCGGGAGTCTAAGGCATGTAGTCCTGAGATGCCACACACGAATGAGGAGTAGCAGTGGGGGGCGGGGGGGGGATAGGCCCTGGAGCCTGGGCTCTGGGCCCAGTAGTTCATGCACCTGGTGCCATTTCCCTGAGTGCTCCCTCTGTCCTGATACAAGACCTGGGATAAGATGCAGAACACTCTCCTCCCAGAGTGGCTCACAGAGGGGGAACAATGTGACTCTCTCTGCCCAGATTTTGGCAGGGCAGCTGGCAGAGGAGGCTTCCAGGAAATTGCAACGCCTGAGGGAGGGGATGGAAGGGCACAGAAGCAGGAGGCACAGCCTGGGCAGAGGTGCAGTTCTAGGGCAGAGGAGGGCCCCAGGGAGGGGCGGTGGGCACGAGGCCCTGAGGACATGGGGTAAGGGACAGACAGGGACCAGATACAGGAGATGTTTGTGCAAGGCCAGAGTGCAGTGTGCATGTGCATTGGGGAGGGAGCCCGGGGGGAGAACCCTGGGTTGTGACAGCCCCAAAGGCTCTGAGAAGTGACAGGCAGGGCACAGAGTACATTGGAGTGGCATGAGGAAGTGGGGGCAGAGATGGGGCTGTGAGGTGGGGCTGGGGGTTGCTGCTAGGCTGCGGGCCTCAGGCAGGGAACCCAGAACAGGTGCCTCCCACTCAGCAGGAAAAGGCCATGGTGGTGGGGAGGGTTTGGGGCTCTCTGTGGCCTCCAGGTCCAAGCCACAGTCCCTTACAGACCGTAAGGTGTGGTGCACAAATGGCCACAAAGCACAGTCCCAGAAGAGTAATACGACAGGGGCCTGGTCTCTGAAAAGCACAGGGGTGTCCCCTGCATAGGAGCAGCCCCTCACCCTATCAGGCTGCCAGAGCAGGCTCACCTGGCGTCAGGACGATGGGCTCGGGCTCCCCCCGGTTTCCATAGTAGCAAATGACATCTCCTTTTGCTGTGCTGTGGACCAAGGGGAGAGAAGGTCAGCTGCGAAGCCCAGGGCATCCTGTTCCTGGTGCCAACCAACAACCTCACCTTGCCAGTGGCCAGCACAGGGACAAGGGCCCACTTCAGCCAGGTTGGCAGCTAATCAGGCACCATGGAAACTTCAGCTCCTGTCCAGCATCATGGGTACATTCCTGATGGCTTAGGCACCTGGAGGCTGCCCATGGTGACAGCTGCAGGGCTGGACCCCACCCCCACCAACACCAGCCCCCTCCATCCGGTAGCAGCCCCAATCCCAATGGCTCATCTCCAAGCACCTCTGGATGGGTGGCCCCAGGGTGACAGATGCTTCCAAAAACCTCCCAAGACCACATGTCCCTACTTTCATATGCTGAGTATACATTTTAAAACAGTTTAAAATGCCCCAGAGCTGAAAATGCTACAGTTTCTCAATACCACAGGCCCGTCTTTCTGCTAGAACTTGTAATGCATTTTTTGCAAACTGAAGAGAGACTCTTTGTGGCCTGTGAGATGCCTTCCCAGGCTAGATGCTGGACACAGAGACCTGTGCTGTCGGGATGAAGGGGCCGTCCTGCTCACTGCTGCCCCCGAGGCAGGACCCACCCCACCCCAGCCAGCTTCCAGAGCTCCCAGTCTGTGTTCACATTCCATTCACATTCCTCCTCACTGCAGCCCTTGGATATACTCTTAAGATGTTTGGCTAATGAATTCAGAGATTTTGTTCACAGGCAAAAAGCTCTTTTGAACTTTTTGCGTAAGGACCTGTAGAACTGGCACCCAGGCTGGCGCTGCTGCCAGCGCTACCATGGCCAGGCATGGGGAAGGCCAGAGCTAGGGACAGCAGTGGCTTGGACGAGCCTCTCCCTTCCAGGCCTTGGTTTCCTCAGTGGCACCCACCAGCAGGGTTGCTCGCTGACCTCTGACACCCCCTGCTCTCCAGCCTCGGCCCCAGCACTAGCTGCCACCTGACCTGCCCTATACTCTACTGCCTACTTTCTCAGGCTGTGTGCAGGGAGGCAGGCCCCAACCCTGCAGGCTTCGAGAGTCAGAAGAGCTGCTCAGGCTCCAACGGGCCCAAGCCCCCACCCCTTGATTGAAGGAGTCACCTGCCCATTCATCCACTCAAAACACAGTGCCCTCATCACCCAGCCACCCAAGTCCCACCAAGGTCATGGCTTCTCCAACGGGCCCAAGCCCCCACCCCTTGATTGAAGGAGTCACCTGCCCATGCATCCACTCAAAACACAGTGCCCTCATCACCCAGCCACCCAAGTCCCACCAAGGTCATGGCTGTGGGTCTGGTCTCCTGGGCCTGGGTCAGACATACATGGAACTACTGACAGTAAAAAGTGGTCCCTGAGCCTGGAGGAGCTCAGAGAGCACAGGAACTCTGCCTCTAGGAACCACCGAAGGTGTGAGTGGGGAGGAGGGCTCCGGTCAGCGGGTGCCCAGCACCAGCCCCCACCCCAGCCCTCCTCCTGCGGGACACTGCAGTGCTCTCAGCTTCCACATGGGGTGTGTCTATCCAGGCATGGCACGGGGGGGCCTAGCATGCTGCGTGCCATGGATGTTCAAGGCACAGTACACCTGGGTTTCGTGGGCCCAGGAGAGAGGCCCATGGACCTGTGCTGGTGGAAGAACACAGGCCGACTCCCTCCCCATCTGCCTGTCCTTGGCCCGTTTACCAAGCCCACTAGGAACAACATTTCTGGGGAGGCTGCCACAGACATCAAAGCACAGCCCAAGCCAACAGACAGGGGCCCCTCCCAGCAGACCCACCTCAGGTCAGCGGCTATGAGGTTAAAGCCATTGTACAGGTGGCCCTCCATGGAGACCTTCTTCAGGTAGGACAAGCTGTCCATGTCAGTGGTCAGAAAGTGGGTCACAAGTTCACCTGTGGGTATGGAACAGACACCCATGACAAAGGCAGCAGGAATGAGCCCCTCTCCCTGGGACATGGCTCTCTTGGGAGGACACTGCAAGATGAGGGATCCCAGTGGAACCCTTGCACCTGGAGGACCACTGCCAGAGCTGGCCACCATGGAGGTTGGCACTGAGAACTCTGCTTTTTTTTTTTGGCCTTTAAAGAAATTTCCCCCATTATGAATATACAGCATGAAGGAAAAACCTTCAGTGGAACTATGTGTGTCTACAGAGCTGTCCTCCAGGGGAAGGTGTCTGCTGTGCAAACATTTGACAGGAAGGGGACAACGACACAGCAGTCAGGAGTGACACAATGGGGAGAGGGAGGGTGTGGACAGGGGGTACCTTGAGAGGAGCAAACTGTGCCTGCGGGGGTGCCGCATGGGCCAGGCTGAGGGTGGCTCCCATGGTGATGCCAGCAGGGCCTGGGAAATGGAGACTTTCCCATTCTCGCTCCTCCTCCTGTCTCTGCCACATGACCCCGCAGCATACCACTGTGGCCCTGTCTGTTCAACCCCCACGCACACACCCCACACCTCGGCCCCGGGCCTCGCGGTCCAGCCGCGGCTGCAGGTAGTTGGTGAGCGCCGACAGCTTCCCCCGCGTGCTGATACCCAGCCACGTGCCTCCTTCCTTGCCTTCCTCCATGTCGAGCCCTATGACGGACGACGGACAACAGCGTTACCACCAGCAATGCCCACCAGGGTGGGTGGCGGCCCCGCTCTTGTCCCCCGCCCGGTCTCTCTCCCCTGGGAGATGCATGCTTCTTGAAGACATGCAGCTCAGCCCAGCAGTCCCGGCTGTGGGGCAGGGGCTTGAACTCTGCAAGGCGAAGCAGCCCCTGGGGCCCGTGGGGTGTACCAGTGAGACCCCCGCCCCGCAGGATGACACCAGCACTGACCACAGCCATCCTGATGGGAAAAGGAGGCCCTCTTAGCACCATGCTGAGGCTCATACTTTCATGTCACGCCAGGGGCCAAGGGGGACAGAAGGCTTACCACTGAGGATCTCATTGTTGTGCCCCCAGAAGTCTGCTAACTTAGACGGTCTGTGGTAAAATTCATCCCTGTTGGCTGCCAGGATGAGCCTGGAAGAAGAAAGCAGGACCGATGATCTCAGATGAAAACAGAAGAGCCACGTAGTTTTTTTTCCCTTTTAACATATCAAATTTGCCTTAGTAGCAACACTGGCAAGTCCCAAAGAGGACAGGAACCTGCCAGTCCTTACCGCACCAGAACAGGATGAAGGTCTGCAGTAGTTCCAGGGGTGCTCCCAGGGGACCCCTGCCCGGGAAACAAGCAGATGCTGTGTGAGGACAGAAATCCACACTGCTCAACACTGGGAGATGGGTTCCACCAGGCCCCGTGGGATGGTTTCATCCCACCCTGCACACACCCTTCACCCACCCAAATGGGCCCCAGCCAGTGGCAGGACTGGGGGCTAGGGGGGTTGAGGGTCCCGAGTGGCCAGCACCGAGCATAACCAGGGAGCCCAGGCTGGAGGGTGAGGGCAGGGCAGTCCCCCCTCTGTCCATCTATCCCAATGCCTGAGACCATTCACAGAGCCCATGGGCTTCCTGGAAACAGGAGCACCCCCACCAAAAGGAACGCGAGCAGTGCATGGGCTTCCGAGGACTGCTGTGTCCTGTGTTTTATTGTGTTTTTTTGAGGGGTCAGAGTAAATGGAGACTTTTTTGTGTTTTACTAGTTTTTTGCATTACAAATCAAACAAATATTTCTTTTGCAATCAGGAAAGATGTTGCCAAAATTTTAAGAGCTCTGGTTTTGAGGGAAGAAAATCAAGTTTGAAGTTCCAGCCTTGCCACTGAAAATAAATAAGGACGTAAGAGGTGACTGTGAGTGGAAAGGGTCAGTCCCTGCAATGTCCACTAGATCTGTGGGTCTCAGAAGTGACAGCTGGAAGACCCACTGAGCTCTGTGCTGTGGGAGGCCAGGAACAGAGGTTCGGCAGGCCTGGTGTCACACTGACTCTTAAACCAAGTTGGAGCAGTGAGATCTCGACAAGTCTTAAAAAATAATTTCTGTATTGATTACAATTGATTTTATGAAACAAAATTTGCTCATGGTGAAGTGTGAAATTATAAAGACGTTCATAAAAGTGAAGGTAAAACCAGAGCCTGCACAAATTACACAGGCCAGTTCTGGTAAAAGCTGCCTATCGGCTGTGACGTGGACAGTGGTCAGGAGGAGGGAGAGCGTCACAGTCCCTGAGTGGAAGGAGACAGTAAGCTGAGGTGGGGATGCACCGGGGGCCGGGCTGAGAGCCCCCACTGCCCCTGTGGGTCAAGGTCCACATGGTCCTGGTCAAGCATTCTCCTACAACACTGACCCTTCTTCCTGTACTCACACATCCCAGACCCCTGCAGGTGAGTGGGGGACAGGGGAGCCAGCAAGGGCCCTGCCAGCCAACTCTGATGCTCCCAGGGGAAGGGTGCTGAGCACTATGTCCCAAAATGAGGCTGGGGCTGTTGGCTTCAGGTGCCAATTCTTATGTAATGCTTCAGCAAAGAAAAAATTTTTTAAATAAAGAAAGAAAGAAAGAAGAAAAGCTGATTGAGCAGAGCCTTCTATCCTGAGATACTCAACTGTATTTATAAACAAAAAGCAATTTTCTGTGTTTGCCTAATAACTCAAGCAAATTGATTGCTGGGTAACTTTTGTCATGGGTGTCGCTGGTTAGCTCAATTGCTAGTGGTTTAATGGGGATTTCATGAAATACGTAATTCAGAGATGAACAGGAGATGAAAAGGATCCATACAGAGCCCTGGATGAGAGGAGGAAGTCATTCCCTAGTCAGCACTTGTGGGGCCTGCAATGTGAACAAAAGTCCATCCATGCCCAGTGCCCAGAGAGCCAGGATGTACCCATTACAGCCAAAGACTCTGTGGGTGGCAAGTCACCCTGGCTTTGCTCTAATCCAGTAGCTGAAACCACTAATTATCCGCCACCACCAGGCACTCCCCACGCTGCTGGGGGGAGGGGAATGAGTTTGTGAATGTCTGGCAGAGAATGTGTGCATTGTCTGTGTGCTGTTTGTGTGCACCACCTGGGGGGTGAGTGTGTGCACCATCTGGAGGCTGAGTGTATACACCGTCTGGGAGCTGAGTGTGTGCACCATCTGGGGGTGATAAGTCTGCTCCTTCTGGAGGATTAGTGTGTGTACCATCTGGGGGCTGAGTGTTTGCACCATCTAGGGGCTGTGTGTGTGCACCATCTGGAGGGCTGAGTGTGTGTACCATCTTGGGGTGTGTGTATACCATCTGGGGGCTGTGTGTGTGCACCGTCTGGAGGGCTGAGTGTGTGTACCATCTTGGGGTGTGTGTGCACCATCTGGGGGGTGAGTGTGTGCACCGTCTGGGAGTGTGTGTACATCTGTGGGCTGAGTGTGTGCACCATCTGGAGGGATGAATGTGCACCGTCCGGTGGCTGAGTGTGTGCACCATCTTTGGGGTGAGTGTGTGCATCATCTGGGGGGTGAATGTGTGCATTGTCTTCAGGCTGTGTGTGTGCACCATCTGGGTAGCGCAGATCTGAGCTCCTTCTGGAGGACTGAGTGTGTGCACCATCTGGGTGGTGCTTTGGTGGCAGGTAGCAGGTACTCTGGCCCATGACCCAGCCATCAGACCCACAGAAGCCAGCACAAGGGGCCACAGGTTGTCCAGTAGCCACTCCAGGCTGGAGCCAGCAAGGAGCCATCAGCACATGAGTGTAAAGAGATATTTTGAAAAAGATGAGGGTTATGTGACAGCATGACTATTACCGTGTTGGGGGTGTCTTGGTTTTCTAGGATGGCTATCAAATTACCACAGACATGCTGGCTTAAAGCAACACCCACTGTTATCTTAGTCCATGGGTCAGGGGTTGGGCCCAGCTTAACTGGATCTCCTGTGCAGGGTGTCCCAAAGCTACAACTGAGGTGTCTGCTGGGAGCTCCACAGAAACGTCTAAGCCACCAGCTTGCAGCCTCTGTTCTCACCAGCTGCCGCCCCCAGAGCTAAAAAAGAAGCAGCCACAGGAAATCCCTCACACCCCTCTCACGAGGCTGGGAAAACACACATATGTCCAGATGGTCGCCCAGAGGCAGCATGGGCTTAGGGCTATGGAAAATCTTCCAGAGAAACACTGAGCTGTCTGGAACGGTCCTGGCAGTGATGCACAGGTTCTGAGCAAAAGCAGGAGAGACCATGTTAGCCCTCTTCCCTTCGCCCCTCAGGGGTGCAGGCAGCTCCGAGCAGTGCTCTGTGAGCCTGCAGTCGCCTCTTCCCCAGAGATGTGAAGATCATCCAGGTGCAGAGAAGACCCCTTGGGAGCCTGCAGGTGGAGGCTGCACTGAGAAGCACATGGTGCTGTCTGGCTCCCACAGCATACGAGTTTCCCAGGGCTGCTAATAATACAGCACCACAGGCCGGGCAGCTTAGCCGACAGACATTTATTGTCTTGCAGTTCTGGAGGCTGGAAGTCCAAGATCAAGGTGTGGGTAAGGTTGGTTTCTCCTGAGCATCTGTCTTCTCGGCTTGTAGGTGGCCGTCTTCTACCTCTGTGTTCACACTGGCTTTCCTCTGTGTGTGTCTGTGTTCTAATCTCCTCTTATAAAGACACCCATCATATTGGATCAGGATCCACCCCATATGACCTAATTTTACCTCGATCACCACTTTAAAGGCTCTGCGTCTGAATACAGTCACATTCTGAGGGTACTGGGGGTTAGGACTTCAACAATTTAGCCCATGACCCCCTGTGACTTACACAACCCAGGCCAGGACTCTGCCCTCTTGCTGGTCCTGCTTCGCAGGAACGGACTCTAAAGGACTGTCTCCCCGCTTCACCCAGAGCTAGTTGTGATAGTCACCATGCAAACCCTGGGGATAAAGCCTGCCTTTCTATTGCTATTTTCAACTCTGGTTATTGTCGCCTGTTTCCCAATTGTCCTATTGTTGCCAAGGAAGAGACAGGAGAGAAATAGTGAGTGAAGGGTGATTCTCAGGGTTCCAGACTGACCCAAGGTCAGGTGACAGATAAGGAGCCTTGAGGCAAGCTGGAGAATGCAGGGACTGGGTCTGACCCTGCCAGCCAGGACTGGGTGGAAGCAGAGCCTCTGCCAGGGCAACCAGGTGGGCAGAGATCACTAGGTGAGCGGGCTGTCAAGCACTAATGCCTGCATTCACGAGGAACAGCTAGAGCAAAATGACAACAACCAAAACCAGAGCCTTCAGACCACCCCCAGGTGTGGACGTGCAAGCAGCTGAGGTTCTGCCTGAGAGCAGTGGGGGAAGGAAGCCAGAGACCAGCCACTACCTGGTGACCACCAGGAATGAGGTTGCTGGTGGCTCTGGAGTGGCTCTGCACAGTTGCTCTTTACTGCCTATTCACACGTGCTATGTATGCTAACCATTCTCTTCTTCTCCCTCCTCCCCATTTTTACTTTACATGCAGGTGGTCAGAGGTAACTTCAGGGAACAGAATATGAAGTGTGGGACTGTGGCTGAATCTGGGAGTAACTAATATAGTCCTTGACAGACTCAGGGACCATCGTCTTCCCTTGTCAGGTGGAAACAGTGTTTTTGCTGATGCGTGGGGGCTCACATGCATGTAGAAGGGCATGTATGAAAGCTGAGGAGCCAAAGGGGTGGACTGCACCAGTTACCAATTTATCACATCTCAGCTCCAAATTTACCCTTCATTGCCAGCTCTGCAACAATGGATCTGACCTTTGTGGCTGGTCCCATGTTACATTTTGTCAGTAGAGGGCGCTGGGGAGACACTGGAGGAGGAAGGGCTTCTTTTCCTGGTTCCCCTATGACTTTTCAGGAGGCTCCTGCAACAAGTGTGGCAGCTTCCCCAGTGCTCATCTCCCGCAGTGCACAGTAGGAAGCAGCACCCAGCAGCCAGCACCTTCCCCCAGCACACTCCTGTGACAGTGGTCAGCACCCTAGAAGGCAGATTTTTAGCAAGTTCTGCCAGCATGGCACCTCAGGGACTTCTCGGCCATCCAGGGGGCCACAGCTTTGTCCTCTCCAGAAAGGTCTGGATCTCAGCCTGGGAGAGGAGGAATGGGCTCTGCCCTGGGCACCCATCTCAGTCCTAGGGGTAGTGGCTGCTCCTCCTATCTGTTCTTCCTGTGTTCTTTAGAGTTTTGTTCAGGTCTTAACTAGCCAGCCCCTCACTACTCCACTTCCTGTTACAGCCAATAAATAGTTCCTTCTTTATATTATGCACTCCCTGCAGGACTGTCTGATGGCTGGACCCTGACTCACTCAACTCACTTTGTTGGGGGCTGTTCAGGGTCACCTCCTGGACCTTGCGCTGGCCCTGCCACACACCCTCTACAGGAAGGGAAAACACTAGACATTCTGCATTCCCTGTTCTCTGGCCTGAAATAAGTTAATTCAGCCACAATGTCAGGCAGCATGATGTCTGTGCAATTTTGCATGGTGACCCAAATCCAAGAATCTAGTTGAAATGGTTCAAATCATTTCTAGTGCAGATCTTTAAATGATGAAAACTTCCCAGGCGATTGCACTAGAGAGTGGTTTCAAATGTCTTTTTTGGTTGTGGGCTAAATCTCTGTCTCATTCTCTGAATCGATAAATGCTGGGGTGGCCAGGGGAATGGAGGGGTGGCTGTCCAGAGCCCAGGGCTAGGAGGAGGGGAGGGTAAGAGAGGGCCAGATGTTGGCTCGCCCCTCCCTGACCTCAGTCTCCCACCACCTCTGGCTAGTCCCCCCTTTCCCCTCCTCCTCCAGTCCTCACACCTCTGCTCAGGATCCACTGACTCTTGGACACTGCTGCCACCACCCAGAGTTCTCATTGGCATCTTGGACCAGCCAGCCCAAGTTGGGCTCTTGCTCATTGTCACTATCACCCCAATTTTACTGCTCTAATCCCCCCTCAGAGCCCACAGAGCTGCACCCCAACCTAGACCCACTCGCTCCTCTGTCCTGCCTGCACAACCTTCAGTAGCTGAGTCTCCACTTCTTTGTATATCAGCTCAGAGTCCCCACCACCAAGAGGAATTCTCACCAGCGCCGCACACTGATTGACCACTGTCCAACAGGGCAGGGCGGGCCTGTGCAGTGCGTCCCCCAGCTTCCTGCAGCTGGGACTTAGCCACGCAGGGGGCCTGGATCTCACACCCTCCAGCCTGCCCTCACCCCTCCTGCACTCAGCACCCTCGGCAATGTGAGGACTGGCCAGGCATCCGAGATCCAGCGGAGCATGGCAGATGTGGAGCAAGGGGGTTACCTGTACGCATTTTTGGAAACAGGGCGAGGATCAAACTTAAAGAAGATGATGCACATGGGTTGCCAAGGGGTGGCTTTGCTCACACCGGGTCACGAGGTCTGCAGGAAAAGGAAAATGAGTTGAGTGAATGGCAGGTGACAGAACTGCCTCCCTGAACCCGCAACAGCCGGGAATGAAACCACCTCTGTGATGCCCGTGCCACTCACTAGACATGGGAGAACCATGTGCTGGACACCACGACACTCACCACAAACATCTCCCTAAACCCCTGCACTAGTCAGCACTGGCCAGACTGTCTCTCTGCCACCCACAAGGCTTGCTGGCCCTGGACAGAATGACCTCCTAAATCCACAACACCAGCCCTAAACAGAACCACCTCACCAACACTGTGATGCTTGTTGGTGTGGAACCCCCATGGGGGGTGAGTGAGTGCTGGAAGAGGCAGTGGCAGCAAGAGACCAGGAACCACAAACGTTCCTGGGGCCAGTGGGCAGCAAACCCTCCCCAAGTATGCACATTCCCTCCCCTGAGACTGTGCCAATTCCATGAGCCAGCAAGGTAGGCAGCCTTCGCCCGGGCCTCCAGCCCCTCCAGGCAGAGCATGGTGTCCACTCACCTGGGATGCAGGCCCTGCAGGCCCTCGCCCAGCACACATGCCCCCAGGGCCCTGTGCACCCCACATCAGCAGGCAGGGACATATGCTAGGGTCATGGACACATACCCAGGCACCAGGTGAGTGCAGACTTGGTGCACAGCCCCTCCCCACATGGACCCCGGGCCCAGGATCCTCTGCCCAGGAGGCATTTCCCACAACCCAGTTGAAAGCTGAAATGAGATCTCAAGGCTGCCAAACCTGGTGACTCAGAAGATACCTGAAATGCGCATGTGTGACACTCCCAACCCACAGCTGGGACACAGGACAAGAAGCTGTTCAGATACGGAAGGGAGCGGAAAAGATTCCTCCAAGAAAAGTCTAATGAATGGGGGAGGTATGTGAAGGGGGAAAAGGTACGATGGGGAGGTATGAAGGTGTGTCAGAGTAGGTTCACAGGTATGAGTGTGCCAAGGTGTGTGTGTGACTGTGTACACGTGTCCATGTGCATGCATCTGTGTGTGCACATGTGCACTGGTGTATGTGTATCTGTGTGCATGTGTGTGTGTGTGTGTGTGTATGTGAGCATGTGTGTCTACATCTTGAGGAGGCCACTGAGCTCCAAGTACAATAGCACAGGTGCCCTAAGGGTCAGGAAAGGCCATGTCCTATCTTGGGGTGCCCTAGAGATCAGGGAGGGTNTGCCCTAAGGGTCAGGAAAGGCCATGTCCTATCTTGGGGTGCCCTAGAGATCAGGGAGGGTCCATGCAGTGGCCCTGGCCCCCAGATATTAAGCACTCAGTCCCACTAGGGCAAGATTAGGCTCCTCCCCAGCAAACTTGTAGTGGGTCTTTGAGTCAGGCCTTTGCTGTGGCAGGAGGCCAGGGTGAGATCCTCAGGCCCCGTTCATCCTACTCTATGTCTCAAATGGGCCATGGCCACTCCCGCCCCTCTGCCCAAGGACTCAGAGCCCCCCAAAGCCTCCTGCAGGCAGATAAGCAACAGGTGCGGGCTGGGAGGGCTCCAGCTCACTGCCCAGGCCAAGGGCCCCCGAGAGAGACCACAACTTGGGAGAGGTCCCAGACCTGGGGACAGTGAGAGCTCCCCTCTGATGTTGGTGCAATTGCTCTGGTTCTTGGATCTCAGCCCCTCTGCCCAAGGACTCAGAGCCCCCCAAAGCCTCCTGCAGGCAGATAAGCAACAGGTGAGGGCTGGGAGGGCTCCAGCTCACTGCCCAGGCCAGGGGCCCCCGAGAGAGACCACAACTTGGGAGAGGTCCCAGACCTGGGGACAGTGAGAGCTCCCCTCTGATGTTGGTGCAATTGCTCTGGTACTTGGATCTCTGAAATGAAACCTCTCCGGACTCTGTCTCAAGAACCACAGCACAAGGATGTTTCCACCACAGTGAGAGATCCTCAGGCCCCGTTCATCCTACTCTATGTCTCAAATGGGCCATGGCCACTCCCGCCCCTCTGCCCAAGGACTCAGAGCCCCCCAAAGCCTCCTGCAGGCAGATAAGCAACAGGTGAGGGCTGGGAGGGCTCCAGCTCACTGCCCAGGCCAGGGGCCCCCGAGAGAGACCACAACTTGGGAGAGGTCCCAGACCTGGGGACAGTGAGAGCTCCCCTCTGATGTTGGTGCAATTGCTCTGGTTCTTGGATCTCAGAAATGAAACCTCTCCGGACTCTGTCTCAAGAACCACAGCACAAGGATGTTTCCACCACAGTGACCCTGTATCAAAGCTGGGGCAGGTCGGCTGCAGGGGCTGGGGCTACAGCCTGCAGCAGGCAACATGGACACCATCTGGGCTCAGAGCCTTGTGGAAGCTGCCAAGCTCATGGGGCCTTTCATTGCCAATGCCATGATATACCCCTGCTCACTGGTCTGGTCAGGGAGGGGGGTGCAAAGGAGTCACTCTGCCTTCCATGAACACTTGTCTGCTACTTCCCCTGTTGGCTCCCACAGGCCACACACTGGGACTACTGTGGGACCCAGGCCCACCCGGCCCTGGACTCAGCCTTTGCTTAGGACACTCCAGCCTGTGTTCTTCCACCAACCTGCCTGTCACTCCTACCCAGCTCCTGCTCTGTGCTAGGCCCCTGCAGGCATGGGCATCAGTGATCGCCACTGGGGACTAACCCTTTGCCCTAGTAAGGAGCCAGTGACTGTGCAGGTGAGGTATAGCCATGGCGATCAGCACCATTTGCAGAAGCACGGTCTGCTAGGAGATGTCCAGCCACGTGAGATGGGCTGCTGACCAGTGCCCCTTGCAGGACGCTGAGCCGATGCAGAAGGGCCTGTGCAGGAGCAGGCCCAGAGGATGGAATCAGGCTGAGTACCCGCCCTGGGTGTCCTGGCAGTGCCCCTCAGAGGCCAGAGGTCAGGAGCAGGCTAGGTCACCTCCCTGGGTACCACCATCCCGTGGGTAACTCACGAACCCAGTACTGGTCGGTAGATTACTGGGACCAACTCTCTTGGTAAAAATAACTCGAAATGCTTGAAAAAATATGAAAACATCTTAAAAGCAGCTAAGAGCTGACAAGATAACCCAGGATTTGGCCAATATCTCAGAGAACGTGGGACCCAGAGAGGACAACAGAGTGTGGTGGCCATTTCTGCCCCCAGAGCATTTGCCCATCTGGGCAAACTGGGGCTTGGGCTCTCTGACCTCAAGGGCGAGGGAGACAGAAGACAAGGCCCAGGGCCCCCCAAGATGGGGAATCTAATAGGAGACCCTCCTTCAAGTTCGACTGGGACCCCAAAGAGAAACACTTGCAGGGGTAAAGGTGAGCTATATCCACAGCCATCCCCAGGGGCTATGGGGACATTGCATGAAAATGGGGAAAGAGTCCCTGAGAAGCTGTGACATGGCTGGCCACCCCAGGAACAGAGCCAGGTCCATACTGGGGTCCATGGACCCTCAAGACCTTGGTTTAAGGGGCTCTTGCACTGGTAGTGCCCCTGGGCGAAAGCAAACCGAAGTACTCTCTGGAGAAAGATGTCTTCAACCTAGACCTTGGAGAAGTCTCACAAGTCACTTTGCAGAGAACAAGGGCAGTGCAGAGTGAGAAAGGACCACATCACAAAACAAGCACCAAGAGCAAGAGCCAGCAGAAAAAGACCCACACACGCATCATGAACCAACCATGCTCTGTTTACAGGGGGGGAAAGCAGCTTGAAAATAACTGCAGGGAAAAGGAAGTGATGAACACTAAACCAGAAGGTTTGCAAAGCACTGAAAAGAACTTTTAGGAAGTTCTTTTAGAAATGAAAGCTGCAGTAACTACAAATTAAAGCTCACAGTGGCCTTAAGAGCAGATTGACACAGCTGCCAAGATGGGTCAGCAGGATCATCCAAGACACAGCACAGGGAGATGGGAAGCATGCTGGGCCTCGGGGGGCCCAGGTGTCCCACCTGCAGGTACCACTTAGAAGACAAAGGTTCCCACATGTAAGAACCCTCAGCTGCTGTTGCTGGGAGAAGCCCAGCCAGGGGTCCCTGCTGGAATCCCACTGGCCCAGGGCCCAGGGCTGCCCACCAGGAACACACCGCTCTGGGGTATCAGAGGAAGTGGCCATTGCTCTTGCGGCAGTCCCTGGGTTGCTGCCCAGACACTGGGTGAGCACACAGATACAGGCCCAACAGAAAGACCCCCAAATCCAGCTGCAGGACCCCACTGTCCCAGCTGGTCTGGTGGGTAGTAGACCAGCCCTCCAGGCAGCAGTGGATGGGAGGGCTCCGTGGTCCGAGGGACTGCCATCGACAGGTCTCCAGGCAGCTTGGTGCTGGAGGTGTGGGCACAGAGCTCAGGGCTGCGGCCTTGATGAAGACGTGGTCATTGGGAGGGAAGGACCAGAGGAAAGCCAGCCCCTGGGCAGGGGACCATCAGGAACTGCCTTTCTCTCCAGTCCCTCACCCCCCACTCAAGCCAGGTTCGCTGCCCACCAGCCCCTCCATCCAGCTCTGGATGGCGGTCTACCCCTCCCCGCTTCCCAGCTTCACCTCCCCCACCTACAGCCCCTCCTTTACCTAGGCCTCCACGGGCCCAGGGTGCCCTCCGCCCAGGCCACCACAGAGCTCCAACACCCTCTTCAGGGCCTGGAAAAGTCCTCTGACACCCTGCTCATCCCACTCCTGTGGACCTGCGGGGCTCTGAGAGTGAACTCTGAAGATACAGCCCCCGTCCTTCTGGTCACCACGCCGCAGGCTGCGTGCAGGCCAGGCAGGCATGCGGGCAGCCAGAACTGCCCCCCAGGACAAATGTCAGGGCATCCTGCTCATGCTGCTGTGCACCTGCCTGCCTGGTCACTCGGGGAAGAGTAGGAAGGGGCTTCAACAGGTCCTATCACAAGGGGTGAGGCTGGGCCCATCCTCGGGGGCATCAATGTGTGCCACAAGGAGCTCACCTAAAGGATGCCTGAGCTGGAAAAACATGCAGGATAGTGTCCTGGGGAGAAACGTGCCTGCTTTCCCAGTGATGCCCCAGCCCTGCCTATTCCCACCCC